CCCCCTCCCTACCCCCAGAGGGTCTTCAAGGCTGGCGGCGCCGCGCGTCCCGGCTCCGCGCCGCCCGGCGGCCTGCGCACCAGCCGGCAGGAGGCTGAGCTGCAGCGCGTGCTGGAGGAGGAGATACTCAAGGAGATGAGCCGCGAGCAGGCCCTCGCCCAGGTGCGCCGTATGTATATGACATCATACACATTACAAAGTAAATTATATGTATTATGTTATTGTTTGTTCCTTGCGCCCGCACCAACCTCACTGGATCCAAGAACCTTATTGTGCGGACGGCGCCCTCTGTTGGGTGGTAGCGGAGCTGGCCGGCGGGCCCTGGCTCGTGTTTTGCTTCGCCGGACGAGGGCTTGCGGGCTAGCCTTTAGGTTGCTGAAGCGGCGCGGTCTGCCGCCTGTCCCTCGTCATATGCAGCGGCTGCTGCCGAGCACGAGCAGGCGGCCCCCCTTGCATGCGCCTCCCTCCCTCACCATTTCGACCTGCGATATCCAAACCCCAACAGCCCCCCCGCTCAATCCCACCACAAGAACCCACCAAAAACTCCGCCACAACCTTTACCTCGAGACACCACCTGAAACCCCACCTCAAAACCCCACCACAAACCACAATTCGAAATCCCCCCCTCCAAACCCCAGGAGGCGGACGCCGAGGAGCGCAAGCGGCTGATCCGGCAGTACGCCGCCGAGCGCGAGTCTGCAAAGGCGCGCATCCTGTCGGTCGGCAACCACCTGACCACCCAGTGATTTGGCTGGGGGCTTTCCGTCACCAAGGCGGGCGGGCATCCGGCCCCCGCCAGCGCACCCCGCGGCAACCGCGGGAGCGCCTCTCGGCCCGGCGGCGAGGCCAGGGTCGTGGCGTGCCAGATGGGAGGGGCGGCGCGCGCGCACGGATCGAGATCTGTTTGGGGATTTCACCAGCTGCTGGTTGGACTCTCAGGAACTGACTGGGGCGGCTCAAATAAGGCGTGGCGGACTCTGCACCTCCACTGCAGCAGGATGGCAGCGCAGTGATTGCACACGCGTGCACGTATGTGTTTGTGACGGATGTGGGGGGCCATTGCTGGGGCCCAAGTGGCGTCAGACCAAGCAAGGAGCTGCTGTGGGGCGGGCCTGACTTTTTGACTACTGTTGTGCCGAGGGACGGTTGACCCAAAGCCACGCCTTGAGACACGGGCGTGCGCCTGCGTTGGCGGCGCTGAGATACAATTGTGAACGGGCTTCCTGTCCGATGCGACGCCATTTCCTGGTAGCATTTGCAGCCGCGAGCCGAGGCTGTGGCTGCAGCTGGAGAGACCGGCTGGGGCGCGCCCGCCGCGCCCCCTTGTCGTGCGTGGTCGGTGCTGGACGGGCGGGCGCAACAGCTCGCAAATGAGGTGCCGATTGCGCTGTGATGTATCCTGTGACACTTCCAGCCGCTTGCCGTTTTGCATCAGAATGATCGTCTTATAACTCAAGCTTTGGAGCTGCGCACGTAAACTCACAACTGGGAAAGCAACATTGTAACAATACTGGCCTGTCATGCATAATAAGGTCAACACCGCAGTCATAATATTGGACCGCGCCTCACCCTGCTCACATACAGATAGCATAACAAGCAAGGTTTATGTAAGCAAAGAGCATCCAATCTGGCCGTACGCGACATGCTGTGTGTGCCGTTCGCCAAGCCCGGCGTCACACTGGTGGGGCCGCAGGCGCAGCCGCGGGGGCAGGCGCCGCGGCGCCGGGCGCCGCGGGCGCCGGCGCAGCGGGCTTGGGCGCCGCGGCGGCCGGGGCCGCTCCTGCGGCTGAGCCGGCGGCTTGCGCTGCCCCTGGTGGGCAGGATGCGTCGATGTAGACTGGAAAAGCGCAGGCGTTGGCAAAGCCCGCGGCGACTGCGGACGTGGATGGGGCGGCGCCCGTCAGCAGGATGAAGATTCGATGTTCAGTACGAGTGCCGTGCGGTCGTGGTGCCAGCTGGATAAAGCTGGGGAGACAGTGCTGAACCATTCAACGTGATTTGAGTGTCGCCCTACCGGGTCGCCAGGCCTCCCGTGATGGCTGCTGTCATTGTGCTCTGATCCCCTGTTGCACCTTCTTATGCCCATTACCTGTGTGCCTACAAATCGCTTCACCCGCCTCCTGCCTACTGGGCGGCACTCAGTTGCTGGGTCTGCAGTGGTCCCTGCCCACCTGATCTGTATATGTTGGAGTTGCCAGCCGTGAACTGGACCGCCAGGCTCAGCACGGCGGGGTTGCAGCTGCGGGGCAAAGCGCGGGGGGCGCGCAGCCCGCGCCTCGTTGGCGGCGTAGGTCGCTCGCCCCGCGGGGTGAGAGGGTCGCGCGCAGTTGTGCATGCAACGCGCCGCGCCGGTCTGCGCAATCTCGCTTGGTGATCACGAGTGTGACTGAGCACGAGGGGGTGGCTTGGAGCACCTTGTTGTTGAGGCTGGCAGCCGGCGCGCACTCCGCTCCCCTTGTTTGTGCGACCGCCTTGCTGAAGGGGCACAACCCCAACCCCTCTTAATCTGGAAACACACAAAGATCAAACATTAGGGAGACTCTCACCTGCAGTACTGGTCGTTGAATGTCTTCGCTGCTTTGCAGCACTCAGGGGAGGGCTTGGGGGCCTGTGTGATGTAGCCGTCAATTTGGGCCTGCAGGTGCAATTGTGTGGTGTTGGTTGGTGGTGTAGGCGAGCTGAAGCGCATGGCAGGTGTGGAAAGATTGGCCTGAGCTGGCGCTGTCATCACAAACACAACCCCTGGAGGCATCCATCGTGGTTGCAAGGCAGGTGGCAGCGGATTATGGCATTGTGACCAGTCGGCGGTCGATCAGCCGACGGACAAATCCGCGCGAACTAACAAGCGGGCGCGGCGAGGCGCGCCTGCGTGATGTTGACCGGCGCGGTGTTGTTGCCGGAACCAGACAGGGAGATGCCTTGGGCGCTGAAGTAGGCGTCGGCGCCGCCAAACTCGGCCTGGCAGCTGCCCTGCAGCTCGGTGCCGACGTTGACGCATTTCTGCGGTGATTCGAAGAGTTTCGGGAAGGCTGTGGGCGGTTAATGGGGCTGGCTGAGGACATGTTTGCGTAGAATTTGGGCAGTACTTGGTTATGTGCTGCGGAAGGTGCAAGGGTGAGATGACGTTTGCAAGGAGCGACGGCGTTGTGCCGCAGACGGCTGCGCGGGCCCCCTGACCCTGGTGCAAGGCGCGGGCAGCGTTGCCAGGAGCTGCGCGCCGCTAGCCCCTGCCTAGCACGCAACGGTCCAGGGCCGAATGGCGCGCAGCGGGCCCTGCTGTTCAGGCTCTGTGTCGTGTGTCCCGGCAAAGGATGTCGAATAAGCAAGGGGGAACCTGCACCTCAGGGACCACGGAGAGGTCTTGAGCCCGGGCCGGCCACAGCACAGCGGACAGAGCTAGGGCTGCGCCAAGCGCCAGGAGTGCGCTGCAGTGCCGCCGCTGCTGCATGGCTGTGGCTCAGCAGGGTGCGGCTGTTGTGTTCTTGCAGTCAGATGTCGAGTTTGTAGCACATGGCAGGAAGGGAAGGGCTTCAATCAAAGTCAAACAGTGCAACCTGAATGACATGAATCAGAGACTCGGGCTTTTGAGCCCAAGTGCGAGCGCGAGGCGGCGGTCATTGGGCTGGCAGTTTAGCGGTTCCGAGGAGTCAGTTGCTGGGGCTGCGCGCTGCGGGCAGCTGCCGCCTGCAGCCGTCGCGTGGAGCTGTGCGGCCTTGGGGAACTGCGTCGCTGGCTCGCTTGCCGCGACGCCCTCAACCGAGCTGCCTCCACGACTTCGCAAGGGACACTCGGTCATTGTCAGTGTTGTGATGTCAACTGCGTCAATGCGGACAGGCAGCAGCGTCCAGGTTGACCAGTCGTAAGCATGACATATACTACAACGACCCGATCAAAGTTCCTGCAACTATCCTTACTAGATACACTCCGCACTCGCGCAAGCCATGCAGATCTCTGCGTTGCAACCAAACCTCGCGCGCGGCCCATGTGCAAGGCGGAACGCATGCGTGGATAGCCGCAAATTGCATGCCCGTCGCAGGCTGCTCGTTCAGGCGCTTCCAATCGCGCCAGGTGCGTCGCTGCGCCGCTCGCGGGTGCTGCACTGCACGTGCAGTCACTCGAGCTCAGCTGGACCCCATTCTAGTACGTTCCTTATCGCGGCCTGCTGCCGCAGTTGCAAGCTGCCTCGCCAACAGGCTGTGCTCATCACCCTCGCGAGCTCGCCTTGCCTGCTGCGACGCACGGCCATCCCCCGCCCGCCCCCCCTTCCGCCGCCGAAACCAATAGACGGGCCGAGCACCAGCGGGGCGGCCTCATGCGAAGAGTCCTGGGCCCTTCTGAAAGCCTTCACGCTCGCCGAGGCGCGCGGCGGGCCGGGGGCGGCGCAGCGGTACCTGTCCGGAGCCGCAGAGCGGGGGCGGCTACGGGAAGCGTTGATGGTGCGCATGCGCATGCGCGCGTGCATGCACCCCGCTGCTGCAGCCATGCGCGGATGGGGCTGCCCCTTCGGCCGGCCGCTTGTAAAATCACTTTGGGGGCAGTCAAGCAGCCCGATGGCGCTCAGTGGTGTCGCAAGACTGGAGTTGACCCGCAGCGGTGTTCGCACCACAAGGGTGTGGGCGGAGAGAGTTGCGAGTCTAAAATCTAGCAGGGTCGCTTACTCCCATCCGCCCCCAGAAACTCCCCTCCCCTGGACATGTGATTGCATGATACTGCAACCGCCTGTGCATGCCACCACCACGCAGTGCGTCTACACCCAGCCGTGGCCCGACGCGGGCTGGGCGCCCCAGTCGGCAGACCAGGAGGTCTTGATGGGCCTCATGGCCGGCGACGCGCGCGTGGCGGTGCGCGCGCTGCGCGACTGGTGCGGCGCGCTGGGGCTGACGTTCGTGCTGCCGGAGTGCAAGGTGGGGTGGGCAGGCTGGCGGGCGGGCGGGCGGGCAGGCCGCTTGGTGGCCGGTGATGGGCGGGGTCGGCCTGAGCGCACACACTCGCCGCTTTCGG